TTGTAGCTTAGTAATAGTTAGTAGTTGTAGCTTAGTAATAGTTAGTAGTTGTAGCTTAATTAGTAATAGTTAGTAGTTGTAGCTTAGTAATAGTTAGTAGTTGTAGCTTAATTAGTAATAGTTAGTAATTGTAGCTTAGTAATAGTTAGTAGTTATAGCTTAGTAATAGTTATTAGTTGTAGCTTAGTAATAGTTATTAGTTGTAGCTTAGTAATAGTTATTAGTTGTAGCTTAGTAATAGTTATTAGTTGTAGCTTAGTAATAGTTATTAGTTGTAGCTTAGTAATAGTTATTAGTTGTAGCTTAGTAATAGTTAGTAGTTGTAGCTTAGTAATAGTTAGTAGTTGTAGCTTAATTAGTAATAGTTAGTAGTTGTAGCTTAGTAATAGTTAGTAGTTGTAGCTTAGTATAATAGTCACTAGTTGTAGTAATGTGTGGCAGGTCACGCACAACCATTACGCGGTACATTCTCGTTGACACGTATGGTACTGATGTGCAGTACGAACATGGTTTGAATTCGATAATTGATTCATTGATTGATTTCTTAATTTACCGTCCTTGTATCTACTGAACAGGATGCTCTGTGCCTGCAGTATTACAACATGGGTTGAATTCAACAATTGGCTCATTGATTGATTGCATAACTTACCATCTTTGTATCTACTGAATAGGATGCTCTGTGCCTGCAGTATCAACACTATGTTCTGCGGATCGGGCCCGGCTGCCGATCGCGCCGCCTTGCTGCATAGGAACTCGTATGCCTTGTTCACCTGCAGTGCAAGCAACAGTCAACATCATGCAGTGTAGTATATATGTTTCACAGTAAAGTTTTTGGGCGCTATGCTACTATACGGAACTAGTTTCATTGTGATTAGAAGTGCAGCGTAGTGGTGTTCCACGACTTGTTTATTTAGTGCTAGGTTACAGTAGGAAACCTTTGACAATCACTCGGAGATTCACACTCAGCAAAGTAACGAACAGGTGTTTAAAGTGTGGTTGCACTAGCAAAGCAGATGCATAGAATGCAAACCTGCTCAAACATGTCTCGTCCTTCCTTGTTCTTGTCGGGGTGGTACTTCTGCGCCAGCCGAAAGTAAGCCTTTCTCACTTTCATTTCTTCGTGGCTGAAATTAACGCGGGAGAAAATTATGCATGCTGCACCTGCTGCCAGCAGAAACACACACATTAGCTGGCTGGATACATATTGGCAAGAGCTAATAATACCCATAAATATATAATATAAAGATAGATAAAAATATAATGAGAGGTATTATTAGCTCTTGATATTCGTCAGTTCACCAGCTGAGATGGTACAGCAACAGAACCAGCTACGTTAACATCACTACTGAATGTAGTTCATTCACATTCAACATTCTAACAATCATCTGACTCTCAATCAGCCATTTGTTACCGAGCGTACACGAAAAAAGATTACCACGATATACTAACAGTTAGTGTAAACTTATAAAGCACTTATCACTTGATTTCCTTTACATCCTCGATCATGTCTCACTGATTCACACAGAATGAACCTCCACCACTGTGTGTTCACATGTTTACGCACTGTCTTAGACACAACAGTGGAAACTAACCACAACTCAAAACAGGCAAAATTGTAACAGAATCGACTAAACTACCTGACTATTCTCTGACAAAAATGACTAGCGCATCGAATTTGTGGTATCCGCATATGCGATGGCGTGAACAAAAGCAGACCTACCCTCCCACACCGGTTTTCAGTCCTAGCACCTTGTACGCATCGTCGATAGACATTGTGGGTGGCTTCTTTTCCACCTCCAGCTTCCAAGCATCCAGAATGTCCTTGAGTAGTTTCACCTGAGGACGACAAATTTTTTGCAAATTACGCGTAAATCCCACTTAGATGTCAACTTTTAAAGAGAGAGATTATAAGCGATAAGAGAGAGAGGGGGAAAACGAGTTAGGGGAAGGAATGTGATTATGAGTGACGGAGAGAGAGAGAGAGAGAGAGAGAGAGAGAGAGAGAGAGAGAGAGAGAGAGAGAGAGAGAGAGAGAGAGAGAGAGAGAGAGAGAGAGAGAGAGAGAGAGAGAGAGAGAGAGA